TTGTCAACCACTGCCAAATTCAAATCTTGGTACGATCAATTGTAGGAACTCTCTGAATCAAATCACAACAATGTCACGAGTTTAAACTGTTATTAATCGTTACATACACACACATACAAAATGCCTTTCCGCACTGTGTTTTCCTTTTATTAGTTCTTTTTATTAGATTTTAATTTTCCCATTTTTTGATCAGTCATTTAACAGATAATGAAAAAGTATACGCAGCCTATTTGCCTTATAATGGATATCTTTGCAATTAATTTTTAAAATGTGAATGATTCGTACTCTCTTTACATCCCGCAAAAACCAAGAAACCTGTCTACATCCAATCCGTTCAGTAGAAACGAATTCGGAACGAAGTAACAATATTAAGTTCTACCTCAGCGCTTCTCAACTTTTTCAAATAAGGACCACTTCTGTGAATTAGAATTTCTAAGGACCACCTTACTCTCTTTCCGCTTCGAAAACAATTTTTACCACATGTTACTACCAGTATACTTATATTAACTAAAATTAATAAGTTTAATTTAAATTAATTGTTTAATTTAATTTTCCTTTGGTATTAATCAACTAAATTACTGGAAAATATATATATATTTTTAATAATTAAAGCCTTTTAAAGTTTGGATAATCTTTACTTTAATAACTAAAAATGAAATAAATCTTGATATTCGCATTAATGAGATGGATGAGCCTGCCTATTTTTGCATAGCTGTAACGTGTTCGGATGTATGCTAGTAAGAAGCACCAGTCACTGTTTTAACGCCCTCTTTTTTTATTGAGACTAGAATTGCCATACGTAATACGTACGCTCTGAGAGTATCAGCTATAATATGGCATACGCAATTAACTTGATATATTTTATAAATCACGGCAGGCTTACAGACCACAGATTGAAAATCGTTCTTCTAATGCGCTTGGCCTTAAGCAAGCCACACACTAAAAATCTTAAATAGATAGAATCAATTAAAAATTGAACTGCCAGACAAACAAATAAGAGGTTTCTAAATATATAGCAGCCTTAAAATTTCCCTGAAATTATCTCTGTTTGTATAAAATATGAGGAATAGTAGAACATACGAATTAGACAATTTAAAAGCGTCCATAACTTTGCAATGTAGCTAGGGAATTCAGTTTCTAAACGGCAAAAAGAGTAGATTTTTCCTACTACGTTGCATACAGTGTTGTTGAGATTTGAAATAACCCTTGCGAAATAATATGGCTAAATCATGTTAACGAAATGCAGTAAGACATTTCAGAACATCCCGGTTATTCTCTTTATTATAAACTCGATTTTTATCTGTTTCCTTCCTTGGAATTCAAGTTGAACTATCCTTTTCACTGCAACAAATCATGTTAAAAGACCGCAAAAGAATGGACTCTAGAAAACATTGCCACCAACGCTGGCGAAAACGTCTCAGGAAGTATCTGTTTCTAAGGAAATATTACTGTAAATTATTTTTTCTTTTAATTACAACTGTAAAATACCCATACTCTGAGAACTTTTGATAACTGCCTTATAAAATTACTCAAAACTAGGAGATCGATTAAAATCTAAATCTTTCCAAGCAGTATAAATAGGCTTAAAACTGTAAAACATATACTGCAGGGACAAACTGAATTCCAAACTTGAAGGAATGTGATAAATTGAAGGCACACGTGATGAAAGCAAAAGGTGATTTTAAATTAAAGGTCGACTGAATTTCTATAAGAGGCAGATCAGCGATGGCTAAACAGATTACTCTTATTGGATAATTAACCTCCAAACGTGTTTGAAACTCTTACAGATGTTAAGTAATACCAGATACCACTCAGGTTTGCTTCTTGAATTTTTTCAAGCCTTCGGGGCTGCATGGCGTGTGAATGTGCGATCAGTCTTCGGAATTCCATGTCTGAAAGAAAGGGAACTCACTGAAACAAAACAATTCTATCTCTGAAAGGACACACTTTTTTTTTCACGGACCATCTACCAGCTAGCGGATGGCTCGATCCTTTTTGTTATCTATTTAACTCCAAGGGGATCACACAAGCGTAGAAGGCAAAACTAAAGAACAAAATAACAGAGTATCTTTCCGTTTCATCAGTTTGTGACGCTCTGTCATCTTTCCGTTCATTTCCTACCAGCGTGCTTCCATTCTTCTGTAACGGAATGTATTGAGATGTTCGAAGTTTAGAGGCCCGGGGATATATAAAGAGATTTTAACGAACTAATTACTGAGTTTGGAATGTTTGCTGCTGAAAATATTTTCTTTGGTTGCTGTAAACCTCAGCTTACGAAAGTTAAATTCAAGCTTAAAATTTCATACTAGGCAATAATATCAATTTTTCTAGTATGGCGTTATCTACGAAACGATCTACGACTCACGTTAGAGATCATTGATCAGTGGCCATTTGTTCGGGTTAAGTGCAAACAAATTGCGTATCTTTAGATCTCAATTATCCTTTTATTTATTCTTGCTATATTAAAATTGCTATTCTAAATTCCAGTTTTCTTTATCTGAAAAAAAAAAAAAATCTGTTAAATGAAGGCTATGAGACACATACCTCAAATTATTATGAGACAGTGAATTTAACATCTTAAGGGGGAAAATCAACTTATAATCACAAGAACATAATTTAACTGCACAAATTTTCCTGATATTGAACTTCTTCCAAAGCATTGCTGGTGTGGTGTTGTATGCTGGAAATATTGAAAACGTTTCAGAATATTAATGAAAATTTGTAATAAAATCTTTACTCTTAAAGCTATAATAGTCATATCTATTTGGCATACTCATCGACATGAAGCAATCAACCAATCGCCAATTAGTAAGCATGAAGTCCAAATGGACCTCTTTTTAAACTGAATAGCTTTAAATATGTAACCAAAGAATACATATGCAAATTAAAAGGTCACACAGTAGATGGGATTGTAAAAATGAAATATAGATTTAGGCATTATATGAGAAATATTATAAAGATCGTAAACTTTTAAGGTATTTATCCCGCTTTCTTAGTATACCTTCGTGGTGTAGTGGTCAGCACGTTCGACGCGTATTCGAGAGTTCCGTGGTTCGAGTCCCGGCGAGGGCATTGCTCCTTTTTTGTATCTCATGCTTCAAAAAATACCTAATGACTCTACCGTGGCGATCGAACTAAAAAAAGTAATGGATAATGATTCTTCACCACCAGGATTTGGCGATTGGGTTCCCTAAACCCCAGTTGCTCTTTGAAAGGGAGAGTATGTAAGGTATTTCTCCCGCCTTCTTAGCATGCCTTCATGGGGTAATGGTGAGCACGAGTCCCGGCGAAGGCATTGCTCATTTTTCATCTGCTTTAAAAATAACCTAATGACTCTACAAGCTTATTATTAAAAAGAATAAATGTAGGTATATTTCACAAGGCACATTTTTGTTTATTGAAACTGTATTTATTTTTTCTTTAACTGCATTTTAACTGTAATTGCATTTATTTCTTCTGTAACTTCTATACTCAGCTGTTCGAAAGTCTCATAATAATTAGATATAGTATCAGGTATGATAATATAGGTAAGAGAGATTACAGTTAAAAATATTTAAATGTAAAATTTTAAGAAACGTGAAAGACTAATATTTATAAGTATGCGCATAGCGTTTTGTTTTTTGCCATAAGTTCGATGCAGTTAATTGATGCAAATTTCTGTTTCAAATTCATTATGTAATTTCTTTTTTTCTTCCTTTTCAGTAATTATTTTCATTTATTCTTTATTATTTTTTAATTTTTTCTTTATGTTTCTATAAGAACATATTTTCCAACTAATTGAAACCTTTAAAAATAGTGCCCATACCTTGAAAATACTTCTAAAAATATAAAAAAAAATCAGAACACTTCAATAGCCATAAACTTTTCAGAAACATTTTTTAATCTAACGTCACTTACTGAAATACCATTAAAGACATCCTATTCGGATTTGTACAATAAATGTTGTAAAAGATACTTAATTGAAATATTTTGGCTATTTTGACTTCACAAATGCGTGTAAGATATTTTAATGCTGTCAATTCATAGAAAGAAAGAAATTAAGTTATGTTGCAGTTGAGAATTTGTAGACAATGATGACAGTTTTCATTCCAGCTGTTTATATTTATGAAAACTGAAATTACACATTTCCTAATTTTCGTCTTATTAGTCAAAAGGAGCGTTAGCTCAGAAGGACTATTAATTTCGTTTTGGCATTTTCCATCGATTCACTGTAAATGTCCATATCACTTTTCAAACTGTTGCCACCAAATATTATCCCGCTGTGTTATATTTAAAGAAATAAAAATATGAATCTGCACAAATGTATGTATGACTCTCGCATTGTGATAAAACAACGGTACCTAGAACCATCTAATTTTGAATAACGTAGTCCTCCTCCGAATATGGGCATCTGGAAGCCCAAATTTGGAATTTTGAATTTGTTTTATTTTCGATTTTATATTTTGTAACATTTTAAGGAATTTTTGATAAACTCAACGATTTCAAACCGAGCAATGGCAGCATTGTACGGGAGGGGGAATTTAAGTTCAGCGCGCGGGACTGTGTATCGGAAATTCTAAAGATAAAAATTATTTTGCGACATTGCTCTTGAATTGAATTTTATGGTTTATGTGCGAAGAACATGATATTTAATAATCAAAGGTAACACAGAAAACGTTAAAAAAACGCCTCTTTATGCGGAATGTAAAATCTGAATTTTTTTTTTTTTTTTTTTTTTTAAATAGTACACTAGTATTATGACGTTTTCGTTTTAATCAATTATTAAAGAAAAAATATGTTTCAGCTGTGAAGAAAATAAATATAGACGTGGATTTCCTTATTGAGCTTTATTAAGTCTAATATTATATAAAGCAAGCAAGTAAAATTAACTATATCCCTTTCCAGAGTAATTTTTCAAGTTTAAAGTCGTTGCCTGTAAAAATTTTATAAAGTGTGTTATTCAAAACACACTTTGTTAATGTTACTTCAAAAGGATATAATTATGGATTTCTTTACTTTAGCTGTCGTCGATACATCATCCATTTTGGAGCATAGAGAGGAGTTGAGAGAACTGTGGGAAAAACGTATGATGGCCGACGAAAACCAGTCTTCTTCTTCTTCCACTGTGGCTGAGACAACTACTAAGCCCGTACAGGAAGATGACAATGAAGAAAAGGTTGCCAAAAGCAAGAGCGAAAGTGATACCAATCTTCAGCCTAAAATGGCGAATGGCGTTGCGAAACCTATAGAAGATAGTAAAGTTGAAGAAAATGACAGTGCTAACATTATTCATGACGAAGAGATTGTTAAGTCATCGGAAGCTGCGCCCGTTGCGCCTAGCGCGGAAGTGGATCACGAAAACAACAATAGCGCAGATTCCTTAGAAGAAGATAATAATAATGACGATTTTGTCGAAGAAAAGACATATACTTCGAAATTGGAAACATCATTGGTGACTAAACAAGTGACACAAGTTAGCACTGAAACAGTTGTTCATTCTACAACAGTTGAGGAACAACATATTTCTGAAACAGTTCAGGAATCAGTTCAAGCGGAGGCCTGTTCTTACCAAACTGTCACTTCTGCAGTCACCTCTACTACTTTTGAAAAATGTGATAGTCGAGAGGCAGAAATTAATTCCAGTGAACCAGAAAGTCTTTCGGCTCCATCTGAAGAGGTCGTATCTTCAACCCAAGAAGTTATAACTGAGAGAGAAGTTAATTCTGAAACATCCGAAGAAATAGTTGTTCATGAAGAAACTATTACTTCTACCTCTGAAGAAGTAATCCACCAGCAAGAAGTAGTGGAAACTGTCACCTATGAACCTATTAAGAGCCAGAAACCAGAACCAGAAAAACTTACTGCTGAGGATGAGGACGATGGTTTCGTAAGAGTTGAAGAATGTTTACCACAGCCAGATAGTACTGAAGACGTACAAGACCTTCCTTCGGAGATTGTAGGACAAGATACTGATGAGCAAGAAATTACTACCACAAATGGTAAGAGAAAAGTAGATAATTTTTAAATGTTAGTAGACAATTTTAACGTGATAGTAATACAACTTAGTTTACACGGGCATTAATCACATCAATGCTAACTACTACCTTCACAAAATAAATCTGATAAACATTTTTGTCTTTTTCTGTTTTCTGGCAAACAGTATCAGTTTTATGATAAATAGTCGTAAGAAAATATTTCTATATCGTAAATTCTATGCTCAATGCTTTTGCCAAAGGAGATCAGAATATGCTCGTAGAGGTGAAAGTTTGTGACAAAGGTACATAGGTTTGAGGAAAAAATGTAGGGCATAATATAAATGTTTGCTGATATGTAATAGCTTTCTAACACTTTTGGTGAATTTTAAGGATTTTAAATTTAGTGCTACAATCAAATCATGAAAAGACTTGAGAAAAAGGTGCTCTTATGATTGCTGTCCATTCTAGTTAAGTTAATTAATGCATTACTGAGAATATATTTTTCTAATATTATTAATATTAAAATAAAACTCTGTTTTCAATTTTCCAACTGAATCTAACATTATTCATTATGTAATATCGCAGTCGCGGTTCTCATACAGGGTGTTAGTAAATAATAATTCTAATCTTTATTTCTTTAAATATCGTTCCTAGATTTTTATTTTCGAATTTATTATATTTTTAAATAAGTTTACTAGATTTCTTAAAACACTGTGTGCGTAGGGAGGGGAGAATTTAAAAAAAAACTTTCTAAACGATGTCATTTAAAAAAAAAATACATTCCTGTTAATAAACTATTTACTGCTCCTAGAAGAGAGAGAGAAAGTTCCACACTTTGTTTAAAGTACAAAATTTACGGAGGTAATCAAAAATGGATTTTCTAACTTACTTCATTTTCGCATATCTGTTTGCAAAATGTTTAAGGACGAAATGAGCAATTGTTCCGTTTTGGATAGGACAACATTCGTTATTAAATATATAGCTGGTCCCTTTATTTTTGGTGAACTGGTTATCTAAATTAATTTAATAATTAAGAACTGGTTATCTAATATTAATGTGGAGTTTTTCTTCTTTTCAACTATTTAAATGGTAATTGATTGGAAATTATATTCTGACAGGATCGTATAAAAAGGTTAGATTGTTTCCTAGAGCCATCCCACACTATTTAAAATTTTTATAAATTTCTGGATATTATTTTTAAAAAATTATGTTTGGACGTGCATACGTAAGATCAAGATTTATGGAAATATATCTTGTTGCTGCCGTTCTCAAACGATAAGTAAATTATGTGTAATTGTTTATCGTTTTAGAGTAGTAATATTACTACGTTTTTTAGAAATTTATCATTTTTCAAAATTTGCTCTCTATTTGTAAGCATTACTTAGCTCTGTGTAAATATATATATTCTTTGCTTTACGAAGTAATAGCTACTATATCACATATCTTTATGGCTAAAATTCTCTGTGTAATAAGGAAGGACTTAATCTGGAAAACAATATTTCAGGGAAACTTATATTTTCTTATAAACTTTAACAAAAAAACTTGGAAACTTATAAGAGATATATTTAGAGCAACAGAGAGATATTATATTTAATGTTATATCTGCAAATTTTGTGAAAATAGCAAGTTTTAAATCTTCCCCAGCAGACCCTTTTTTAATTTTAAAAAACTGGATTATAAGCTCAAATCTCATCTGAAACTCTTTGTATCATATTCTTAAACTGTATACATTTTTTGAATTAATAACTATTCTAAAATTAAAAATATGATGAATTGGTTAGTAGTTTAGTGAAACATTTTGCCTGATACTTAAGTTATAAATTAAATCTTTATAAAACTATGAGATTCTAACTAGTGTATTTCTCAGTTACTGTAGAAAGTGACGAATCTTAAGAAGTAGTTAGCGAATAATCGCTTAAGTTCGTGTAACAAGAAACAACAAGATGGAAGGGGAACTAACCCTTTATTATTCCAATAAGATTTAACAAAACTCCGTCTTGGAGTGTACAATAAAAGCCGACACTTGGACTTGAACTTAAGAGACTAAGAAATAAACTAAAACTAAGATTAAACTATATATATATATATATATATATATATATATATTAGTTATAGATATAGCCGAAGCTATCAAGATTCTAACCGAGCTGGCCCCTTAACTTTTAAACTGAGTACGGCCGAGCGTAATAACAGCTTTGAGAGAAAGAGTAGCCAAAAGGCAGACGCGCGCAAATCAGAAACTCTGATTCTCGCTCACTCAGCAAGTAGACTTCGCGGTTTAAATACCGCTCCCCTCATTAAGTATTCAGATTAGTTCCAAAACTACGTTCTGGCCGGATGTATTAAGTTGAAGTTAAGAATTTGACAAAGTTTAACTCAAAATTTAACTGTTAATAAAATTAACAGTTAAATTTTGAGTTAAACTTCTTACAAAACAACAGGTGGTCTAAAATCTGTATGAAACAACAAATGCTTTATCTGCTTTTCTGAATTATAGTTTAGAATTATAATTACCTGTTACCTTTTCTAAACCGTTTATATCCTTTTGGCACAATTCAGAAGAGACCAACTGTCATAAAAAAACCTGTGAATGGCTTAACTTTCTTATTTTCACATTCATATGAAATTTTCTTTAGGATATGATGAACATTCTCGTCCGTCAACCACTTCTCCAGATCTCAGTATTTCTGAAGATAAGCCAAGCCATCCAGAGATGGAGCAGTTTGTGAAATCTGGTGGTTTGAAAAGGATTTTGCCTGGAGTCCAAAAGACCGAACAACCCTACAATACTTGCACCACGGAGACCAAGATTGCCATGGAAATTCGCGAGATGAGAGAACGTGAGGAAGAACTCCGCTTGATGAGGGAACAAGCTCTTCTCTCTCCTGTCGTGTCTCCTGTACCCCCAAAGAGCCCCAACGCTCGCAGCCCCTCACCATCGCAAAAAGAAGTGCACAGTCCAACGCCTTCTAGTGTCGGTTACAGAGTGAGTAGCGTCTTCGGACACAAAGGCACCACATCTCCTTCTCCACCTGTTGACGAGGAAAAGAAACCCTTCAAAGGATTCAGCAAAGAATCTGCGGTGGAAAAAGAGATCCGAATTGCAAGAGATAGAGAAGAGGAATTAAGAAGACAGAAAGGCTTACCACCAAGAGAGGATGACAGCTATGTAAAACCAAGTCAAGTCAAAAACTCCCAGGTACTACATCTTCTATCTAAATGGTAATGGTTCCTATTTAAAATAAGTTTGACCTCTTTCGAAGCAACTAACAAAACCACTCTTTTAAAGGGAGCCCAGGGGAACATAATAGCTACTTTTTATCTTATTTGCAATTTTTGTTTGCTGTACATACAAATCAAAAGCTTAATTTGTATAGCTGAAGCTCGTAGTAGGTATGTGATGCTTGGAAATCAATTCGTAATGACAAATTATACTTTCGAAGGAATATAATTCTTTATTGAAAATAATTTGCGAATAAAATTAAGATGACCATTAATTTTAATTCATAATCATTTGATCATATATATATATGTATATATATATATATGTAATCGCAAAGCATTAAGATATAAAGGATCGTTTTAGAACACTATTAGCATAAAGGATCAACATAGTACCTTATAGTATATCTTATATAGTGTGAAACATACACGCGGTTAGATCCCTCATTTTCATGAAACATGAAATTGAAATTTTCCTTTGATTCAGTTACCTTGATTTATAAAAAGAATTACGTTCCTTCTTCTTTTTTAGATCAACAAAATTGTTAAAAACAACTTACATGTGTAACATTCTACACTTTAGTTTAGTTGGTTAAAATTATAAGATGACTGTTTAAAATGACGGAAGTTTTATATTTTTACGCCATTTGCATTGAAATCATAAATTTCACTGTCGCCTTTTAAGTTAGACTCATTCTTAAGAGCCAGTTTGATACGTGCATTAAAATAGCGGCCTGCGCATTAAAATAAGAAGCAGCTATATGCCTTAAACGTAATGAAAAAATAATCCTTTATAAAAAATATTTATTTAAAACGAACATATCATACGTAATCTGAAAATACATCAAAACTGAAAAGGCTTTCATAAAATCTGCAGACTGGGTATTGGCCTTTCTTCTATTTCTGGATTTCTTGAAATAAATGAAATAACCGAATACCTAAATTTTTATATAGTTTAGTTACATTTAAGTTAGAATTCCTAATATTCTGGCATATTTCGCATTCGTTTAGTAAATCACTGAATTATTCAATGAATTTTCTTATAGATCCAGTTTGAATAATGTTATATAAGTCATCTGTTTCTTATGGATTCAACATGGATTACAATATTCAAAATGCATTTCGTAAAAATCATGTATTTCTTACTAATATGGATTATAAATATGTCTTTAAGAAACTCGACCGTAGAAAATATTACCTTAAAAAATTGAATTCGTCTTGAATCTATACCATTAAGAATTCAATATTTACCTCCTTTCCCACCTCGCTTTGTTAAACAAACTCTGCTGATTGATTGCACACATCAGAAAGAGCAAACTATTACATAGATATGCCATTAAATTTCGCAAGTATTCGTATTTTTAATATTAGAATATTGTTATTATTGCATTATCACAGGTTCGAGTTTTTGGCAAGATGGCTGGCACAAGTAACACTTCTGTGAAACAGGCAGCTACTGCCAAAATCCAAATGGAGATAGAAGAGCAGACTCAAAGAGAGATGGCACTTCGTGAAACTGGACATATCCAGACAATTTCCCAAGAGCGCACTGACGCCAAAGTTGCCAAGATGAAGACACCCGACTGCACTTCCCCAGTCACTAATGGTCAGTTGAATTTCTTCATGCTTTACAAATCAGAATTTAATGTATGTTTTCTCTCTTTCAGATATTTCTCTTTATAGTTAGCTCTGTAGTTTAGAAAAAAATTGTAATAAATTTAATACACGTTTGAGGCAGCGTACATAAAGTTTTAAAATCCTTCTCCATTTGATGCTTTAGAATGAAGCTCAATGTCTATTATTTTATAACAAACAGAAAAGCGTTTTTTAATGCAGCTTAATAAAAAAGATACAAGTTCATCTCACTGATATGAATTTTTCTAAAAGAGACAGATGTAGGTAAATTTTGCGAAATTTGCTGTAATTTAAACAAATTCTGAATAGATAAATATCCTTATTTAATTTCTTTGAAACCTGTAGTTGATAGTTTATATTAATTATTAAAATTGAGAAAATAGTTGCATGAATTCTGAATACTGCACCTTAAGTCCAATATACTGGAAAAAAAATCGCCATTTATTTTGTAAAAAATATCCTTTTATATTAAAATTATAGGAAGCTTTTACCTGGTGATGTGCTTAAACTATGTTAAAAGAAATACTTACTTTATATGAAACAGCTGTTAATGTAACAGTGGTATTTCAGTATCATGTTAGAATAAAGTTTTCATAAAAAATAATTGCCATTTATTTTTGTAACAAAAATCCTTTCACGCTTCCTAAAATTTTTAATGCATGGATAGTTGCTTGTTATTAAATATTTTCTCTTAGAATGTAAAAATACCTACTTTGAATGATTGCAATAGCAGTACTCGTTAGTTCTCTTTGCTTCTCATAGCATAAATTATTTCTCTTTTCAGTTATAAAAGGTCTTGAATAAATTTCTATTTATTTTTCAAATTGGAATTTTTGTATTTCCATTGGCTTTAATTCTAAAGAAAAAAATTTATCCGTTTTAATATTATAATTAACTAATATTTTCTTGCATATGCTAATTTACTTTAAATGTACCTAGACTGTCATATATCAAAATCATAGCAGGCTATTCTTTAAGCGTGATAAATTATATCCAAAGAAATATTCACTTCACATGAAACAGCAGTTTTGGGCAGCAATTTTAACCAGTCATGTTTTAGTATGATGTCAGAATAACGTTATGACTAAAATAATACAGTTGTCGGTCTTGAAAACCACTTTGCATATAGTCACTCTTGACTGCACCTGAGGTCACGTTCATCACTGTTTTATGTTACTCATATTTCTTCGGATGGCTTGACGGTGACGTCTACCACGAAAGTCTGACAATTTTGAGATTGAAACCAATACCATGAAAGAAACTCAAATATTTTTTACAAAACAATAGGATACACAGTGTCATTTTTTATAACAGTGCCGTTCCTTCTTCAGTCGCTTATTTTTTGGAACACCGCGTTTTGGAAACACTTTCGGCACTTTTTTCCATATAAGTTTGAAATACTGCAGATCTCTGGATGCTTTAGCTTCAATAAAATAGGGCAATACCATGCGCTGAGAAAGAATCCCTGACTATACTTCAGCAAATGTTTCTCGAATGTGTGATTCTAAATGAAAAGACATTACGAGACCAATATTTTTCCAGACTTGTATGTGATAATTTGTTCTAGACCTATCTGAAGACTTAAGTGTACAATATTAGAATATTAATGAATTTAGATTATCATTATAAGAAACAACTGCTCCTAAACCACTCAGCGTGGTCCAAATAGCGATGCAAAACCTGCACGACAGACTGGAGACTTGCACAAATGATGCAAATTGAAATTAAATTCATATTTGAAAAATGTGTTTTTGAAAAAATATGAGGCACAAGTGAAGATTAGCGCTGTTATAATAAATGGCGGTCGCTGTTCTAATATTTTTCGAAATAAATAAATATCTGAGTCACATTTCATGATACTGGTTTCAACCTCTAAATCTTCACACTTCAGTGGCACAACTTGTAGTAATATCTTCATTTCAAAGTTGACAAGCCAGTCTAATCAACTGATGTAAGATTCTGTTGTTTTTAGTTCATGAAAAACTTAAAATTTGTGTAACTTAGAATGAAACTTAAGTAACTTTGAGAGGTATTTTCTGGTTCCTTATTTCATGTCTTTTTAGTATAATTGGAAGCACACCCATTTATTAATCGGGAGGTCCGGTGCTAGAGTCCCAGCGAGGGCATTGCATATTTTTCATATTTCCTGCACCCGACAAACCTAATGAATCTACGATTTAGTACATAAATTTAAAGTTATTTCTCTTTTCGTTCAAAATTTTTATTTGTTCTACTATGGAGTTTTCTGCAAATTAATGGGCTATTATGTTTCTTTACGTAGGCAACTCTCATCCTTTGACTAATGGAAACTACACCAATGGCCGTTCCTCTCCTGATAAGCGTTCCACTCCTTCACCTACCGGCGCCAAACCGGCTACCATTTTCTCTCAAAACAATGGCGTGCCCAAAGGCAACATCAGCATGCATAAATTCATAGCTAGCAAAGGAAAAGAGACCACCTTCACAGCCTCTCGAAACGGTGGTGTTTTCCAGCCAAAGGAAGAGGTTGTCACCAAGGCAGCTGTTCCCCCTCCTATGATCAAGTTGAAAAGAAATCTATCTGTGGAATCGAAGATTCAGCAAGAGATTATGGAAATGAAACAGAGAGAAGAAGAACTCAAGTAATTTTTTAACTGATTTTTAACACTGAAGATCTGTTGTATATTATTATTTTGATACTTAACCATGCAATAAGAGTAATATCCTACTGCGGTCTCAGGCATTTCTGGCATAATTCATACGAAAATTCATTATTTTATTTAATATAAACACTCCTATAGCATCAATCGCTCTAATTTAATTTTTATTCAATGCTCTGAAATGATATAGTGTAAATTTGCGAATTCTTTACAAAAATACAATGGTACGAATTTATTCGTTATTACGAATTTTCTAAGCGGTGAAAAATAGTCGCATGCTGCGAAACTAAGCTGCAGTTGATAAGAGTTAATGATACTGTTACTTTCTATAGTGAGAGTTTAAACTGCAATAATATACAGTTATTTAAGTATCAAATTACCGTAGTTTTATTTTTAATCTGAACATGGCAATAAAAAGAAGATATTTCTTGTTGCAATTAAGGCAAAGACAGTCATTTTTACGAAAAGGAATAATAAATATGTCTAATTTTACCCAAAAGAGATCTAGAAACAATATTAAAAAATAAGCATGCGAAAAACCTTATCATTTGTGAAGGGATATAAAAACGAATTTGTAACTGAAATGGAAATATTTGTGTAGTCATATTTAGGGAAAATATGATAGAAAAACTTGAAAAAATGGAACATTTTCTACTTTCTGCATCACTTATTTGCATTGAGTGCAGAATTACTAGGTTTCGAAAGGAAAATTTTAAATCGTCAAAAATATCTTTTATAAAAGTCAAAAATATCGTTTCCAATTCTTTGCCAATCGTCGAAATTGTTTGTTCATGGTTCTTTTGAATTATAAATTATTTAATGTATACTGATGATACTGATGCACCGACAAATAACAGTAACAACAAAAACATGTCATAACAAAGAAAAATTTATATGGCACATTATTTATATATATTATACAAGACACACATAAGTTTTACAGGAAACTTGTAAGTCACTTTAGAATCATGAAAGCATTTTCATTGTAGAACGAAATTATACTCGTATTTTTCCAGCTCATCATAAAAGCTGTTTTACTTTGTGTTACAGTCTAGCTTTAAACCTCGCAAACCGCAGTCAGTCAGTTAATGCAGTAACATCATACAGTATTGAGCGAAAATATTTCCGAATGCATGAGCTCAATAAGTGGTGATACAAATTTTGCATAAATCCTTTTTCTCCGAGAAAACTCTTACGTAGAATGTCTCTCGTGTTCTTTTAATCAAATATAAATAATTTAGATACCAAATGCTGTCCAACGGAATAGTGGTTAGTGGCTCTGTGCGATGCAGCAAAGACATTGTACATTTATAACATCCATGTCTTTTCCGGTTTCGAATCCTAAAAAAGGCATGGATGTTATAAATGTATAATGTCTTTGTTGCATGGGGACACTCTAAATGAAATAGAAGTGTTGCATGGGGACACTAAATGAAATAGGGACAATAGAAGACTTTCCCAGCTGAAAGTCTTCTATTGGCGTTTGGTGGAAGGGAGGAGGGGTTGGATATCCTCGGAACTACCTGGGCTGCTTGGCCTCAAAATTAGGTTGGAACTGGGCGAAATCGTACTTTCACTTAGATGCCGCTCAAGACTCTTGCCAATCTTGTGCTCTTTGCCACGAAAAAATTCGTGGGCTTGTTCTGATTAGATCAGACAAACCAAATTAATCACTACAACAGATACATGGTTATTTTTTTTCTTTTCAAGCTTTTCAACATTTTCTAACATTATCACAGACAATCTTGTTGCATTTCTTTACTCTATGGATTCAGTGTTCATAATTTTCATCGAAATCGTCTTTTCTTGCATATTCGATTGCTCCAGGAAGTTTAAAGCACTTTGCTTACCAATGCTTGGGGATTCAAAACACAGAGAGTGTCTTCATCATAATTATTACAAAAAATGCATTTTCCTTCCTTCTTATTTTTTAAAAGAGCCGAGACTGGGAATGGCAACAATTAGCAACAAAAGTATGAAATAATAAAGTTTTCTGAGGAAGAAAAATTAACTGTGCAACTTTTTCTGTTAAATTAAATGGACTTAGCGTATCTTCCCCACATGCATATGTGGCATGTTCCTTCATCTACTCAGGGATCCTTTTTTTTTTTTTTTTTTTTTTTTTTTTTTTTTCAAATTTAAAATTTTTGTTTCTTTGCTGCGAATTGCAGACAGTGTCAACATGACTACGTCATTACTCCTCACTTCCTGTTTCGGGAGAGAGGAAGATCTATGAAACTATGAAGCTACCTTCTCTCTTAAGTCCTGTCATCTACTAGTCTCTCCTCTCTCGATTTATTTTTGAAATTAAACCAGCGTATACGTGGATCTTTATAAGTTTTTATGCATTAAGTATTATTTAGTAACTCATATTTAGCAAGATAGTGCCGTACATATTTGCGGGCACAGATCCATGTTATTTATATCAGCCAATTTGCGCTCTTCTTCACAGAAGGGTTATGGAACTGAATTCAACCGTGAAAATAACATAATGAGAATAAAATTGCAGTTAAAATTATTCTGCCGTTACGCATAAAAAGCATATTTGTAGTTTATTTTTCTACTTAGTCGAATAAAACGTATTACTCAAGAGAATGCATTGTTCGTTTTCTATTTTCTAAATTACACGCAATAGAGAATCTACACTTTTACTATTAAATACATGTTTTTCTTTAAAGAACAGAAAGAGTATTGTTCAAATAATTGCATTTTGATGGGAAGAAGAGAGAGACGATCTTTTGTAAATCGAATGTATTGTGAAAATGTATAAATATAAATAACTTTATACATTTACACTATTAGCGTTTTTATTGTTATTACTCAGTTATCGATATTAGCTTAATACGGCAATATGCGAGTACTTTGTGTTACTTTAAAAAAAAAAAACGCCGTGTTTGTGATATTTATGAAAGATAAATCATTGGAAGTACTTTGATATAAAATCAATGGTATTTCGAATGCCAAAATTACAATAGGAAAAAAAACTGGAACATGAGTCAAAATATTAGAGTTTAAGAAGAAAGTTTTTAGTTGCTGGCAGAAAATGTTGAGGATTAGTATGCTATTGTTGTGCAATGCCAACTGCACAGATTGTTAGCCTTAGTCGTTATTCATCTTAACATTCATGGAGGACTTTCTTAATATGAAATGGCTGATGTTTACATTATTTTTTAGAAAACTTCGAAGAGTAAATGCAGTTCATTAGAAATCGGGTGCAGAAAGAAATTATCTTTTCTAGATGTTTCAAGTTTATTTCTTCGTAATGAAACTCTAAATTTAATTTAAAAAAGCACCATTTTAAATGTGAGGATATACTCACCTGGGGATCGTTAACCTTTAGAGCAATGATGAGCAATAAGAATTGATCGAGGACTACAGAATTATAAAAATTACTATCAAATGACAAGATTAATACACTTTTCATTATTACATTTTAAATTTCAGAGTTAAATTACAATGCCATCAATCAATCGCAATCATATTCTGATATCAGCGATTACTTTTTAATTAAAATTTGAAACACCACATTTTTAATGTCTTAAAAGTGTAATTTGTTACAAATCATGACAGAAACTTGAATTCATTTATGTTAGAATCCTGAGAATACATTGCAACGTTGCGTCGCTTAATCTGCATCATGAAATTCCGTTAGCTAATATAGTAGAAAAATGCTTTTTAAAACTGTAAATGTTGCCAAATGTAGATCATTTTTTAAATGCCTTTTTTCTTGGAAATTGATACCGTTCTCCGGAGAGAATATTTTTCGCTCTCAAATCACATCTCTTTTTTTTTTTGTGTGTGTGTTTTTTTCTTTATACAATTCTTCTGACTAATACTCCACTTTGGATGAATTACTAATAGAAAAGAATAGTAGTACAAAATTCCTGGAATCAGATGGCTAATGTGATCTGCATATGTAACAAAAATTTCGCAGATACCTTTAGATGTACGAATGAAAGTTTTTAGTCCAGAACTTCGAAATTTAAAATTAATTGAATAAAATATTAGTAATACTTAACAGCGCAGATTGTCGATGCGAATATGGCTCACGGGACACCAAATGGCCATTATTGCTCTACGTGGTATCTGTAAAGTACTTGATCATCGCATAATTTCTTACGAATGAGTATAATTTAGGACTCAATATAAATTGTTTAAGCTTGTACTAACATAGCGAACCATCCATTCTTACACAATCGCATTTTCGTATTTCTATCACATTCCAGCTATAGTCGATAGCTATCTCTTGCTTCAAGGAATTTGGGCTTCGATTCATTTTCAATCACATGTTATACTCATCTTTTTCCTGATTCTATGATTTTTTCCTTGTATTATTACATTTCGTATAATACCTGACAGCTTCAGAAACCTTTTCTATGAAGCACATTTTTCCATGTAAGTAATTATCATCTTTTCCCTCTGGAATTCGTTTGATTTCTTGTTCATTTGTCTCAAACTTCATTCATCACAGACAGAATAATGATGCATTTTCATCGTTGCGCAATCTCAGAGACTACTAATGTAAATTGTATGAAAATTTAATTTTTTGATTAAATAAACTCAATCTTATTATTTATTACTGCGAAATACTAGCACAGAAAATATGAATTATGTGTTAAACTAGAAGATGATATATTCATTCGCTAACATCAAGACGCAGAGGACGACGCATCCCGAATTTATAAAACAATTTTTAGAAACTAATTATTATATATTACGCTCTATAAGAAGCATTCCACTTTTAAATCGACTTTTCTGTGTGTGTGTGTCTGTGTGTGGAGGGAGGGAGATGCGGCTTCTAATTTGAAAATTGTTGTAATTTTAATAGACCTAGAAACCAGAACTTTTCCTCATTCGTTTATACAAATCCAGTTTTACAGTTTTGTAGAACTTGCAGACAAAATGAGATTAAAGGTGCCTGGAAATGAGACGTATAGCTTCCAGTGCCTTTATTATTATTAATATGACCAAGGAAGATAGAA